CCCCCAAAGCCCCAGTAGATAGTTGTATGTCATAGTTGCACAGCCTTCTAGTTGCTGTATGTGGGACGCGGCCTCAGCATGGCTGGAGAAGCGGTGCGTCCATGCGCCCCCGGGATCTGAACCCGGGCCGCCAGCAGCAGCACGCACTTAACCGCTAAGCCATGGGGCCCGCCCATTTTACATGTATTATTAACTCATTTAATGCTAGAGGTGGGTAATATCAACATTTTAATGAGGAAACTGAGGTACAGAGCAGTTAAAGAACTTATCCAAGGTGACATAACTGAGCAGTGATGATTTATGATGAGGATTTTGTATTGGTTTTAAGGGGAGTGCCCTTGACTTAAACTGTTAAGCTGTACGTCAACTTGGCATTCAAAAGCACTTTTGCTTGGGTTCCACTGTGCTCCAAGGAAAAGCCTACAGCACTTATTAGGCCAACATATGTCTGATAGATAGAGAGCTAGATATTCCACGTGAATAAATTGTTTTTGTTTGTTAATCTTGGGTGAATTTTTACCACATAGCAGTCCAACCCAGTAACGTTTCTCTGCTATTGCATCAGATAATACTCTGAGATCCCTTGGACAGAAGGTAGTGTTCTCAAATAGGAGTCCATTTTGCTTGGGACTCTAATACAAAAGTCAGTTCTAAGTTGACTCTTGATATCTCTGAAGTGAAAAAGTGAGCACAAAAAATAAGATGTTCTGACTGTGAGGTTGTATTGGAGCCAAATAAAGTATGGAGCCCCTGGATCACTTAAAATGTTAATAGAACAGCAGTGTCTGAAATGCACATCATTTAAAGTGCATTTGGAATGAGACGGGGTCTGAGGTAGAGGGAAATCTTATCATCCTTGGGATATTGCTGGTCCCTTTGAACTCTTTTGCTTTAAAACATTTGCAGTTTTTAATGATTGGCTGTTTCACCATGAAGTAGTCATTTTCTGTAAAGGAATAATAACTGGGTTATTTTCTGTATAATCTGTGTAGCAGTAAGCTGAGAGAAAGCACCTTGCTTTTTGGAATAGTGGGCATGGGTTTTGGAAGTCAGATTTTAATTGTTAATGTCTTCACTTGCCTCTTGTGTGTTAACTGAGCAAGTTGCTTAATATTTTATCTGCAAATAAGAGGAAAGCCTATAAGAGCCCCTTACAGGGTAGGCTCCATAAACGTTAGCTTTCTTTACTTCTCATTGAAAGTAGGGAGAACTTATTCAGAATCAGGTTTCCTGGAATGGTAAGTTATTTGATAGCACGTATCTGGACATCTAGCAATTATGAGACCACAAAATGATCAGTTTATGGTCTGATGGAATCACTTGTTTTCCTACTCTTTCTCTGAGGGAAGATTTTCTTTGTGTTCAAGCTCTCAGGTTAAGATTTGTCTTGGGTCATGTTATGAAGCATGTCTTTCCATTGAGATATTGTATATATTGGGTAGTGAGTTGAACCTTTCATTATATAGTGACCTTTTTATCTCTAGTAATGCTTTTCCTTAAAGTCTATTTTTCCTGATGTTAGTACAGTGATACCAGCTTCCTTTTGGTTAGGATTTTATTTTACTTTGAAACTATATAACATTATGTTATAGATGTGTTTCTCATA